TGTTAGGTTCTTTTTTGCAGTAAACAATAAATACAAAAAGTTTAGGGAAATACTCTAAGATAAGCATTAAACTACATTCAAAAACATTCGTATTTGGTGAATAAGGCAATGTATTAGGCTTAGACATTGCAAAAATTCTTTCATTAGCTTGAATTCATTAGGCAAAAAGTAAGTTTAGCTTGATTTAAGTTAGATTATGCTGTAAACTTCTCCTCAATCAGCAGACTCTGGGAAATACTCTAAGATAAGCATAAAACTAAAGTAAAATACATTCGTATTTTGAGAATAATGCAATGCATTAGGCTTAGACATTGCTAAAATTCTTTCATTAGCTTGAATTCATTAGGCAAAAAGTAAGTTTAGCTTGATTTAAGTTAGATTATGCTGAAAACTTCTCCTCAATCAGCAGACTCTGATAAGAATCAATTTCCAAGTGAATGACAGACATGCAATTCTCTGATTAAGATTTGTTTCACATGAATATATTGCACAGCTGATGAGTCAGTCCTATATATCTATTGCTTATGCAACTTACCCAAAGTAGTCCCCTACAATGGGATAAGGAGCACAAAGTAAATACAACACATTTCAGTGAAACACAATACACATTATCAATGCCTGGCTTAACATGATATTTCCAAGCCCCCAGCAATGATTCATTGCAACAATGAATCAAGTAGTCAAAACATGTCGGAGAGACGTTTTGGTGACATTGTGTTATATATATTGGTATCATAATATATAGAACATTTTGTATCTTTATTCGAGCTATTAAGGTTTTCTTTTCCATTTCTTTCAATTGCCAAAATTATGAATGAAATACGCATTTGTTTTTATAAGTTTTAGTCGTGGACATTGTTATTGTAAATCTTACTTTGTATACCCTGAACCCATTAGAAATGGGTAAATGTATTTGTGCAAATGTATGTAACAAATGCAGAAGGAAGCATCTCCGACCCCATAAAGTATATATATTCTTGATCAGCATCAACAGACGAGTCGACCTAGCCATATCCGTCTGACTGTCTGTCCGTTCGTCCGTCCTTCCGTCCGTCCATCCGTCCGTCCTTATGTATGAACGCAAGGATCTCGTAACCTATAAGAGCTAGAGACTTGAAATTTTAGCTGTAGGTTCTCCTAGTCCCCGCGTAGATCGAGTTTGTTTCCGATATTCGATAACTTGCCCCGTTTCCAAGTAATCGATAAAAAATCGAATATAGAAATTCTGTTTTTTTGGGCAATTTCGGCAAATAATATGAGCCAGAGTCACCAAACTTGACATCTAGAATGGAATATATATATATCAAGTATCTTTCATTTTATAAGAGAAGAAGAAGAGGGTTCAGGGTATCCTCTAGTCGGCATCTCCCGACTAGAACCTTTCACTTGTTTAAATATAGCCGCGTTCAATTTGAACCAGGAACTTGCTTTACTGGATTACTTAGACAATTAATCCTTCGATTATCCACTTCAATACGAATTTAATAAAAAAATATCTTACAATTATTTGTCGCAAACTGATTCACGCACTTGATATGTCCTTTTTTCGGGTAGAGCATAAGAAAGAGTCGCCAAATTTGGGCCACAGCTTCAGATGACAAAGCATCAAATTTCATACTGTTTTTTATTGTCATATTCTTTCTTTTTTTTCGCGCGCAGTTAGTAGTAATAATTTTTTCGCATTTTATAGCCATACTCGTATTTTTTTTGGGGAAATTGACAATCTTGTTTTTTATGCATGACTATGAGTAGTTCGTGTTTATAACGAGTTTCGCATTTGAGTATTTTTTTTGGTTTTTTTTATCATCTGGATGGACACTCGTCTAACTAATTGGGTTACTTCCTCTGCTAATTTTTTTTTTGTGACTCGCACTTGAAAATTTAATGCAATGTGCCAGAAATTTGTTTTTATTGTGATTAGCCCCGCAATTAGCCGCGAGTGCGCCTAATTATTTACGGAAATTACGCGTAAAATCACGACAACCTGTAATTTATTTCACATCAATTGAAGTTGGTACAAAACAAAATTAAAACTAGAAAAAGTAAGAATAAACAAGTAGAAATGTTGCTGTCGAATGAGCATAGAAATACCCTACAAAAGTGTGAGAAGCTAATTGAATAGTTTTAAAGTCTCAAGTTTGGAGTTAAAGAAAAAATAAAATTTGAAAGGGGAAAATCATTTATATAAAGATCAATGATAATGTTCGGCTTGGAATATATATCAAGCCAACTATTGATAACATTTTAGCAGCTAAATTATTGACGTTTATTTATCAGCTAAACAGCATAAATTTTTAATAATAATAAGTTTCTTAAACAAATAACCGACAGACTTTATCGATAATTGAGCTTTAATAGCTTTAATTTACAATATTTCGAATTTTGTAATTAGCTAAACGTCAAATAAAACTCAACTTAGCTAAACGAATACTCGTCGCGACGACATTTTCCCTTTTGGGTAGTTGTGCAGAAAGATTATGATTCATTTCGCATGAACGAGTATCAAACGTGTGTGAAGCGAGCAGCGAATGAATTGCGCAACACATGGATACTCGCGATACAGGCAACAAATGCTTGGCGACATCAGCTGCATATTGTAATGCATAAAGTGCTGTCTGCTGCCGCGGCGCCAGCACGTCAGTACGTCAGCACGTCAGTATGGCACGGCGCCCCCGCGACGCCGGAGATGCGACTCAGCCACAAAGTTAACACCGCACAAATATTTTTAGCTGCTTTTCTCTTGGTCATTAAACCCAATTCCAAAACGAGCAACAGCAACAACAAAACAACAAAAACTGCAGCAACTCTTGCTGCAGCGGCTGCTTTTGTTCTTAAACATTTGTTGACCGCAAGTTGCTGCTGTTGTTGCTTTTGTTGTTGTTGTTGTTGCTGTTGTTGTTGTTGATGGAGATGGAGATGGGCGCAATCACAGCGCGAAAGAAAGAAGATTTGTGTGGTCCACGACGCGGCTTATTCTTATTGTCCGACTATATGCACGCATACATACATACACAAACATGCATACACACATTTATATATACACATATATATATATTTATATATATATACTATATATAGCGAGCAAATCCCTGGCAAAAGCAATCCATCATCCAGTTCCAGTTCCAACTGTAAATATAATATCATATATAGTATAAAGAACCAAAAGTTGGTATTCAACAGTTTCCACCCATCTCCATTTCCACCCGTGTCTTGTGGTGAGCAGCTTGAAACCGAAAAGTAAACTTTCGTTCATTGAACCCGCATTCTATCGTGACCTCCACGTCTTAAGTTGAATGTAAAATATACGTAGATATTTGAAAATCTGTGCAAAGTGCCTCGAATATAGAATCAAAAGTTGGATTATTCTGATTCTGATTATTCTGAGAATTTGATAAATAAACTTTCGTTAAAGCATCCTTTCACACGCAATTTCAATCCAAGAGGGGTGGAAATATCTGGTTATAATTGGTAATTCGCAATCCAAAGGGGAAAAGTTAGGTCACTTTAGGTCACTTGTTCAGCAACGCTATAATTCCGTGCGGTGATAGAACGTTAAGGAACGACATAGCTCCGCCTTAGTAGAAACAATAGATTACCGCGCGGAGATATGACGTTTTATGACGTAGTGGAAATAATACATATCCGCGCGAGGAGATATGTTTATATATAAAGAGAGAGAGAGAGAGAGAGAAAACACAATGGCGCTACCCTCCGTCCTGACAATTTCTTTTGCTGCACTCAGCACAGGGCATTCCGTTTACAAGATAACAATATTCAATACACCTCGCAACACCAAAATAGAAGCAATTACTTCAAAAACTCTAATAGTAAAATACTGAAAAAACCGGGTAATAACTGGACTATATAAATAGTAGTATATACATACACATAAAAATTTAAAAAATATGTATAAACTTTAGTCCGTCTCAAGCAAAACCTCCGCTGATCTTATACAAATGGATTAGAGTGTGTGCGGTTGCGGATGCCTTCGTGTCTGTATGTTTGTGTGCATAACTGGGTGACACATTACAATCCTCTTGAGCGAGTGACTCATAAGCATTTTTTTGGGAAATACTCAAAAGTCGGCGTTGGTGTGTAAAGACGGTCAGTTGCGAGTGAATGAATGAGTACTTACACACACACGCACACGCACACTAATGCATGTGTGTGCGCTGCTGCTGTCAATGCTGTTGTTTTCATGCTTGTCGCTTAAGTAACAACAAATATTTGTTGATTGCTTTTGCATAAATGTGTAAATACTGTAAATACCAAACAAGTAGCTGAGTGACATGTGCTTGTTACCTGACAATTTAATTACGATTTGTGAATATACAAATACAATTGTAGAGCGCACAACAAAGGGCAAGAAATCAAAATTGATTGCCTAGGCATTGCATGGATGCAAAATTGTGATTCATTTACCCCCCCCCCCCCTCTTGGGGCTGACTAAGCATTAGATGCACAGAAAGAAAAAGTCTCTTTTTATGCTCCTTTTATAATCTGCGTTCCAGTGGCAATAAAAAAACGCTTTTGTTTTTTTAGTCGTAGCAAAGTGTTAAAGTTAATATTTCGCTTTTTTTTTCAAGTTATTTATAAAAGCTGATTAACCGGTTGTATTTAGTTTATTTTGAATCTGTTTTGTTATCAGCTACGCTCAGCTAGTTGCATTCAGCTGTAAACTGTTGTTGTTGCTTCCCATACACTATGAAATTGCATTTTATACGAAGGGAAGGCCAAACAAGTTGACTCCAGCCAAATATGGAAATAAGATAATAAACATAAACGCAGCTTTTTTAAAGCACACGTTCTCACTCCCACTGTCGTCCAGTCGACTGCAAACAACGGTAAAGTGAGTAAGCTGTTCACGCTTTGAGTGGAAAAGCGAGCGAGCTAGAGAGAGAAAATGAGAGCGAATTCGAGCAACGCTGCGCACTCTCAAAAAGTTACCTGTCCGCTGCGGCTGCAAGTCGAAGAGAGCGCGCGCAGCTTTTCAGTCGAGTTCAGACATTGGCTCGAGACGGTTGCGAGCGGCAAATCATTTGTAATATTGTCTGTTGCATCAGGTCGTGCGTTGCTGCGCGTGTTTTTGTCGCCGTTTGACATTTGTGATAATATATATAATCAGAATTTATAGTGTAACTGCTTTAGCTCAGTTGATTAAAAGCCGTTAACATGGCCCGGCAAGGTAGCTTGCTCCTGTCGCTGCTGGCTGTCGTTGTCTGCCTCGCTGTCAGCGCCTGCGCCTACAACATGTCCCCGCGCCCCAACAAACAGATCAGAGATCCACAGTTCGCCACGGCGATGCCGAAAGTGCGTGCGTCATATTTCGGTTATAGCATCTCTCTGCGACCGCACGGGTAAGTGTGCCGTTCCAAGATCCGCGATCCGATTCGACTCGAAACTTAAAGCTCGGGGCGCGTCTTCTCTCGCTTCTCGCTCGCTCTTTCGTTCGCTCTAGGCGTCCGTTAGGGCAAACAGGTTGGAGTTTTCGATGATTCATCGAAATCGAAATCGAATCGGCGGGGAGTGGGGAGCGGGGGGCCTAGATGCCAGATGAAGTGGGGCCATAAAAGAAAAAAGTGAATGAAAAAGAAAAATGAAACACAACTTAATAAGTTGTGCAAATGATGAAGTCATAATTGTTGCTGCTATCAATCCGACAAGGTAGCTGCCAGGTAGGGTGGGGCAGTTGTTCACCCTACACTCCAGTGTGTAGGGCTAGTACACTCAGAGAAAAATCAAGCAAGATCGACCTTCTTATTCCAATTACGGGACTTGTTATAAAAATCTATTACTCTATTCGAGAGAGACCATTTTATATCTATTGAGGCTTGTTTCAGGCATGGAATTTCTTATTAAAAGCGAATTGAACGGAATATGGATTCCAGCTAATTCTTATTAGAATTGTGAGTGCATTGTTGTTGTGGGTTGGGGTATATCAAACATGGGCCGAAACGAATAGCTGAGGTTATGCAAATATTAAAGCATTCACATTGCACGTACGTTGATACCCTTCCGACCAGATATACCTATATATATATATATATATATATAAATATATATATATATTTGTTACTCAATGAGGCATATTCAATTTCTGGCTATTGTTCTCTGTGTTTTCTAGCTAAAAAGTTAGTCAATGCCAATTTTTTGTGCTGTTTATCAGCTTTGCTTTTAGTCGATTTTCTTTGATAAGATTACCTGTGTGCGCATGTGTGTGTGTGTGTGTGTGTGTGTGCGTTATGGCAAAAATGCCAATTAAAGCTGACAGCAGTTTGCCAAGACTAAAGCAAGAATGGAATTCTGGCTAAAATTACATTGTTAATGCAAAGTAAATTATTTATTCGTATTATTTATAGTTTTATTAAGTTCTTATATAATGCAAACAAATGTTCAATTTCTATGGCCTCAAGCTGGAGCTGAATGAAGGTTCACTTTGTGGCTCCTTTGTCCCAGTTTAACTTCCTTCAAGATATTCCTTAGTATTATATTGCCTTGGGTCTGACTTGACTAAGAGTATTATTAATTGTTTCCCCTACCCATTTCTCAGTTTCAAGCGATAAATGAATTGTCGTTTATCAAGTATACGCCAGCTATGCTCGCAGATAATGTCTTTATCAGGTTGGTCGCCGTTTCGACCATAAAGAATAGCCTATGTCTGTTAAGTATTGAGAACTCATAACTGTATTTAGCTGGAAAATGCGACAAATTCCAATTGCTGAGTCGAGTCGATGACTAGGTCTATTGGTCTATTGGTCAATTGGTCTCAATTGGTCTGAGGTTCATTGTCAGATTTAATGCCTCTTGCTAATGATTCTATCCATCTCCCCTCCCCTGCCCCTCCCCCTCTTTTGCAGCGTTTTTGTGGGTGCACCGCAGGCTCAGTCTACGCTGGAGGCACAGCGCGCTGTGAACGAGACGGGCGCCATCTACAGGTGCTCCCTGCTCAATGGCACCTGCAGTCCATATGTCTTCGATAGCCACGGCAATCGGAATAATGAGAATAACGAGTATACATGGGACTCGGAGCGACGCGACTATCAATGGCTGGGCGGCTCGATGGACGGCGGGACGCGGGACGAGGATAAGCTGTTGGTGTGCGCGCCGAGATTTATAGCGCCGTCGTCGAAGGATTACCATATGCACGGCATATGCTATTGGGTCGCGGATACGCTCGCGGATCAGCCGCAGAATGTGACCAAGATCTCGCCGTTGCGCCTGAAGGACGATCAGGTGAAGGAGAACAACGATCATCGATACTATTTCTATATCCTGGCCGAGCAGGGACTCAGCGCTCATGTGTCGGACGACAACGAGCAGTTCCTGATCGGAGCGCCGGGCATCTTCACGTGGCGCGGCTCGGTCATACGCTATCGCAAGGTTTCCCTCGTGGATGATCCCTCGGCGAGTCGCCGCGACACGAACAGCCAGAAGCGTCGCAAGATCCGTGGCAGCGGCGACTATTTGGACTATGCGCCGGAAGTCACCTACGAGACGGACATACCCAATCCGGATCGCTGGGGCCAGCCGGACGACTCGTATTTCGGCTACGCCGTCGGCTCCGGCCACTTCGACAGCACGGACCTGAAGAGGCTTCTCTATGTGGCCACCGCGCCGCAGGCCAACGAGCAGTCCGGCGAGGCCTACATCTACGATGTGCGCGGCAAATCCATCGAGAAGTATCACGTCTTTCGCGGCGAACAGTTTGGCGAATACTTTGGCTATGCCGTGCTCGCCGAGGATCTCAACGGGGACAATCTCACCGATGTGATCATCGCCGCGCCGCAGCATTCCCTCGAAGAGTCGCACGATAATGGCGCCATCTATGTCTTCCTCAACAAGGGCCGGGTGAGTAAGCCGAGCGACGCTCTTCCTCTTCCTGGTGCTGACTAATCGTTGCTTTCGATTCCAGTTCAATTTCGAGGTCAATCTGCTGCCCTGTCCGCTGCCCGTCACGGCCAAGGCACGTTTCGGCACCACGCTCACCCGACTCGGCGACATTAATCACGACGGCTACAACGGTAAGTTGTCCCACCTTTACTAAGTGTCCCCTCCCCCCCCCTCCCCCTCCCTTTGCTCCTGTGCTGACAAATGCAATGTAAATATTATTGCAATCTTTGCCCCGTCTTGGGCGTGGCCTTGTGCATAGAGTACTATTCCGCTCCATATAGATAAATAAAATAAATACACCGCGCAGCAATTGAATAGGAACACTTACGCATATAAAGTGCTCAGGCGGAATATTATAATATATACAGTAGGGAGCAAAAGTGTTTCCATAGTTGACACTTTGAACTTTGTGGGTCAATAATATTCAAAGGAATGAAGCAAATAAAAAAAACTTTTTTTTTTCCAATAATATATATTTAATTCTTAACAAATTGCCGTATATAACAAAAACAAAAATAAATCAGCAAAATATTCAAACAAAAAAAACTAAAACAAAAAACGCATGTGTACGATTTTGAACGTTCAGTGAGAAAAAAATTAAATATGATTCAAAATCAATATTTTGTCCACAGACCCTTATTAGCTATTACACTTTTTATTCGGTTTGGCATACTCTCGACCAATGGTTTCTCTATGGTTTCCTTTGGAACTCGTTTCCACTCCAGTTCTACACGCTTCCAAAGATCGTCTAGGTTGTATACCCTTGCAAAAGGTATTTGAATTTAATGGTAAAATATGTAACACCTGCAAGAAGATACCTATATTCGTATAAGGCATATATACTTATATAGCCATATCTCTCAGATTTGCTTTAATCTTGGCGTATTTATTTAGTCGGTCGATTCGGATCCAAATCTTATAGCTATCATAGGCATAAACGTCCGATAATTCAACTTTTGCATGAAGAACCTTTTTTATTGACAATTTCTTAAGCAGAATTTACCAAATACCTTTGAAACATTTTTTTTTTTAACAATATTATTATAACAATATTATTATTTTTATTTAAAATTATTTTTTTTTTTGTTTTTATTTAAAATCTTTTTTTTTTTTCTTTTTTTTTTTTTAATAAGTGGTTTGTAAGAAATCTTTTGCCTTATTATATTATTATTATTATTATTATATAATTTTGAAAGAAGTCTTTTAAATATAGGAAAACTTAGGGATATAAAAGGAAAACTTTCTTGTATTCTCGTCTTCGACTTCTCCCTCTTCATTTACATACTATTTGCTTATCTTCACTTTCCACTAATTTGCTCGCTGATTCCAGACATTGCGGTCGGTGCACCTTTTGCGGGAAATGGTTCCGTGTTTATATACCTGGGCGCCGAGCAGGGACTGCGGAGTCAGCCGAGTCAGCGCCTGGACTCGCCGCAGCTGGAGTTGTCCAAGTACGGCCAGCACATGTTCGGGCATGGTCTGTCGCGTGGCTCCGACATCGATGCGAACGGCTTCAACGACTTTGCCGTGGGCGCGCCCAATGCGGAGGCCGTCTTCCTCTATCGCGCCTATCCGGTGGTCAAGCTCTTGGCCAGCGTCCGTTCCCAGAATCGCGAGATTAAGCCGGACCAGAACCGAGTGCAAATCACGGCCTGCTACGGACTCTCGACGACGGCCAAGCTCAGCGCTGCCCAGCAGCAGGAGATGGCCATCCGGATTGTGATCGATGCTCAGCTCAAACGGGCGACCTTCACCCAGACGCACTCCAGCGAGCTGAGCTTCAATGCAACGGCGGGCATCACGCAGCAGTGCCGCGTCTTCGACTGCGAGGTGCGCTACAGCGAGAAGGATATATTCCAGCCCATCGAGCTAAAGATGCACTACGAGCTGACCAAAAAGGTGCCAGACTCCGAAGGTAAAAGGAAGGAAGAGTTAGGAAGAGAAAAGAGTCTCCTGTTAACTGGTACTTACTCTCCATTTAATCCGCTTTCAGAATTCTGTGAGACCTGCGTCGCTGTGGATCCCGAGGAGGCCAAGGTCTACACAGAGAAGATCATCTTCAGCACGGGCTGTGCCACAGATGTGTGCATAGCCGACCTGAAGCTGAGCGCCAAGGATGTCAGGTAACTCTCAGACAAACTGCCATAAGATTTAAGTGCTCATCATTTGTTTTTCATCCGGACTAGTCCCAGCTATATACTGGGCAGCGACAGGACGCTGCGCCTCAATTACGAGGTGAGCAACAACGGAGAGACCGCCTATTTGCCGCAGCTGAATGTGACCAGCTCGAGTCGCTTGAATTTCGCCCAAATTCCGGGCAATTGCCGAGTCAGCGAGGCGGTAATGGTCTGCGATCTGAACCATGGACGACCCTTGGGCAAGGGCGACAGGGACAGCATCACGATTAGCTTCGATGTGAGCAGTTTGACGGGCAGCGCTTTGACCATCAGCGCCGAGGTATTCAGCACGGGCCTAGAACAAAATCTCAGCGACAATAAGCTCAGCACGCTGATTGCGCTCAAGGAGCACACGGAAATTGATGCCTCCGGGTAAGATGCGATAAAGACAGCAACTCACTTAATTTGTGAGGTACTCATCCCAATTCCATTGATCCTTGCAGCGGCCAGTCTAATGCAGCCATCGACTTGGAGCACTATAAGAACTCCGCGCTGGTCGTGAACAACTATGAGATCAAGAGCAACGGCCCCAGCACTGTGGATGCCCTGGAGCTAGTCTTCCATATACCCGTTGCCTACAAGATCGCCGGCTCGACGGCAACGCTGCCCATCATCAATGTGGGCAATCTGAGCATGCAGGCCACATACGATTCCCAGCTGGTGTCCATTGAGCTGCTCGACCAGAATAATACGCAGATCATTATGAATCCCATTGAGATCTCAACAACACGAACGAGCCAGCACACGGAGCGCGTCGTGGTCAGCCAGAATGGGGAGCACTATGTGCAGGAAAGCTGGCAGGGATTGGACTCGGATTCTGTGGCCACGGCATCCATGACGCGACGCAAGCGACGCGATCTGAAAGCCTTGACCGCCAGTCGGGAGCAATATGAGCGCATCGTGAACTTCAAGGCGCACGATCTGCTCAGCGAGGACTTCAAGGACAAGCTGCCGGTGAATCGCACCATTGTATTCAATTGCCGGGATCCCGAGATGACCGTTTGTTTGCGCGCCGTGATGCGCGTCTACAATTTCAAGCCGGAGAAGCCAATCAATCTGAACATGCGCTACAGCATCGATCTGAACGAGGTCAATGCCATCCTAATCGATCCCTGGGAGTTCTTTGTCGTCCTCATCGATCTGAATGTGCGCAAGGAGGGCGATCCCACCGGCAGCTCGCTGTCCATTCGACGCAAAATCGAACCGAATGTCATATCAAAGCATCTAGAATCCAGCTTGCCCATCTGGGCCATTATTCTGGCCGTACTGGGCGGCCTCCTGCTGCTGGCAGCCATCACCTATGCCATGTACAAGGTGAGTACCTCGAAATTCGGAAACGGTTTGATGACTAACGCACTCTTCTTCTTGCAGGCGGGCTTCTTTAAGCGTAAGGAGAAGGAGGACATGGCCATTCTGGCTGGCCAGGGCGCCGTGGAGCCCGAGGCGGAGAACCTTAACAGTGGCAATAACTAAGCTCAATATTGTGATCCTCGTTGCTAAGACAAGTTTAGACAAGTACATCACATCGATTCCAACTGAACAGTTGGCCAATACCAAAAAAGCGAAAAGGATAAACGAACTGGATAAGTGGAAAATGTGTTCTTCAAAAAGAAAACTATACATATATATATATATATATATATATAGATATATATTTATAACTAAATCCTAGTGCAACTTGTAGGCCGCGAAGCATCAAATGTTCTTGTGGATTTTTTGTTGGAATTTTTGATAACTCGCGTGGCGTTTTAAAATGTTATTTATGTGGGAGCTGCGCTAGCTGCGCCGAGTCAAGCCATATTGCCATTATTTGTAAATATTTATAAAATATTGCTAATAAACATATTTGTTTAGTTTTTAAGCTTCGATGGCAACGCAAAAGACTTCAATTTTTGTATACAATGTAAAAAATAAACGCACAAACATGTAGAGAGAAGGCAAAACACACACACACACAACACTAAATATATTGTACGCAATAATTCATCCTAGCTTAAATTTAAGTGAGAAAAGTATTAATTAAATGTTTTTGCTCTAAGTTATACAATTAAGAGTTTTTTTTTATTCAAATTAGGAAAGCAACAAATTGCGAAACTGCACGAAAGTCCTGGTCCGGCAGATATTCAATTTTTAACTCGCGTTTTTGGAGTCGTTTTACGGAATAAAACGTATCTTGGCCAAATAAACCACGATCTTGGAAAGATTAGTCGCGTTCGATTCGTAATTTTCGTAATTTTCGCAAAAAAAGCTGCATCCGTACGGATTTTTGGATGGCAATCGATAGTCGGCATCCGTACGAGTAGT